GCCGGCGCCTGCAGTATGGGGTCCGTCACGTTATCCCTAAATACGTGCGAATCGGTGGCCACTATGGCTTTGATGAGCGCCGCGTCCGCCACTGTCAGTATGGGTTTGTTGGCCTCGTATATGCTATAATTGCAATGTATATTAGGTATTAATGATCATGGTGGTTACTTATGGATTAACTCTGTGTTTTACTAATACCCATAGACTTTGCCGTATTTCTGGACCCATTGTTTCTCCAACACTACCGGTTCGGTGAGGAATGGACTCAATGTATTGCCAAAGCCGGGCACCGGTTTTGGCCCATTTACACCACGTTTGGCCCAATAGTTATGGTTACGCGTGAAATAGCTTATGGTTAAAATAAATTAATTTTACATTTATAATTTTTTATTAATTTGCTAATTAAACTATAGACTTACCGGTATAATAGAAACAATGCAAATACTATTGTGTAGAGTGACCACAAAACTATAGCCATTTCTATTATTGTTTGGTGAATTAGTTACAAAGTTATAATTAATTAAAACATAACCTCATGAGCACATGTTAATGGTTTAAATAGTTGGCAAATTAAATCTTGATAACAACTTTCTCTATTGATTATTAGTGGTGTTGTGAAGGTTAAAATAATTATTGATTTTGTAACAGTTAACAGTCAAATCTCGTTAAAATCAACTTTCAGCTAATTATTTATTTTTATAATTATCTGTAAATTATTTTTACAAAAGTATTTGTTATATATTTAATTATATTCTCTTAAAAAACATTTATTTAATAAATATAATTTGATTAATAATGTCAACTGTATTTATAAACTAGTTAATTGGTGTGTTTAAACTTATAGTATTTTTTATGAAGTTTATCATGCCGCTGAAGAAACACGATGGTACATAATATACTTAAATATAAACACTAGTATTTCTAGCATTACAGAGATAAATATCAAACGAATAATAGTAAGAAAATAATTTTGTTTAAAAATTGACTGATTATAAGATTAATTTAAATAGATATCCATCTAATAGATAATGATAAATTATATTCTATATTAATTTGTCACATTAAAATATTAAGAATAACACACGAGATAACACTGGACAACACTGGACTATCACTACTATAATATCTCTAATTGAAAATTGATAATGATATAAACTTTAGTTTATTTTTTATAATTATTATTTAATTAATATTAAACAAGTTGTACATCTTGGATTTAAAATGATAATAATTATATAGTATTTGTATTGATTCTATTCTAAACAATAAATTAAAGTAACATTATTTTTATGTAATTCGGTAAATGTAATTTGATAAAAAATTTAACGTTAACAATTTATAAGTAATTACAAAATATAGTGATATCCAATATCCAATATAGGATAATATTGGACAATTATTAGTGACAATATCTTAAATAGAATATAAAAAGTTATTTTAACTGTAAAATATTAACATCAAATTTTTAAAAATAAATAATAAAATACCAACAACAACTTAGCGGACAGCAACCTATGCATACTTTGTGCAAGTCTTGTAGGTTGAGAAGGTGATTTCGCACTTGGTAGAACAACATTCCTCGTCATCGACACACTTCTTATTGTTAGGCAAACAGTCTTCTCGTTTCGGGTCCAAACAGTAGCCTCGTTTACCCTTCGCTATCTGATAACCGCCACATTCCCACAATTCACACGTCTCGTCATAATCGCACGGAGACCCAGCCTTTTCCGGGAAAGCCGGACGAGGTATCTTTCGACGAGCTGCCTCACTGTACATGACTATGTACGTGGTCACAATTAATATAGCCATTAAATAGCCCACCCGATTACCAAACAGAGCCATTGTGTTGAGAAAGTTAAATGTTTGAATTGATTAGTATTTATTAATAATTTAGTTTTAATATATGGCGTGTATTGTCCGTATGTATTTTTATAATAAATTAATTAATTAGAAAATATTTTATTTTAATTAAATGTAATAAAAACCAGAAATTACATTAAATGCTTTTTAGAAAAGTTAAATTTAAAATTCCATGTTATAAATCATAAGTTATGATAAATACTAGCGTACATATAAAACATTTTTAAATACATTGTAACTAACAATTTAAATAACCAAAATAATAATTTTAATGTTACGAAATTTTATGTTCACATGTGCACCTGACACACTTCACACCCTTTTCTCGACACCTAATACCATACGTTGCGGCGAGTAATGGAATAAACTGGACACCAAACGCACGGGTATATCAGTGTTATCAGTGGTGTAAAATCGGTACCGGCGCACCAGTTTGGCCAGGGTCGTTTTGATTTCGAGCAGGGCATAGCGTTTTGCCAAACAAACACGATTGCCATCGCTAAACGGTATGTACGCGTAGGGCTTAGTACCATTACTATGGTCATTTTTATTCAAAAATCTACCCGGATCAAACTGCTGGTAATTGGGGTAATATGGCTCGTAGTGATGCATCGCGTGGACGGGTATGTCTACGGTGTGGCCCTTTTCAATAGTGATGCCGGTGTCGCCCAACCGGTAGTCCCTATCGGCTATTCGCCGGATACGTATGGATACGGTGTGAAGACGTAATGATTCGGACACAACGGCCTCCAGAAAAGGTAGTTTATTGAGCGCATCCATCCCTATGTGTCCGTCCGGTGCGACGGCGGCCGCGATCTCCTCGTATAGGGTTTGTTGTATGCGTTGATTGCGGGCCAACTCGTATGTGGCGAACGATAGTGTCGATGATATTATTTTACAACCGCTGTTGAAAAATACCCAACTGTTGGCCAGAATCTCGTTTTCCGTTATATAGTTAGCGTCCGATGTCTTACTCTCTAATAATTTGTATTTTAATAATTATTAATTATTTTAATAATTTAAAAATATATATTTTCAAAATTTCCTACTATTCATATCCCATTATTTACTAGTAAGTTATAATATAATTTACCAGCACTAGTTTCATCCAACTTATGCCGCAATACTATGTCCATAAAATCGTTGTAATTACGCCCACTATTAAGCCTAGAATTCATTATACTTCGAGTCCAACGAAAGAAAAACTCATTGGCTGTCTCGAGCACCGGGTGTTTTAGGCCGA